CAGAAAATTCCAAGTAGTAGATGCTGACAAACACTATTTTCTATCTTTATGATAATTCAAGATTTTTCAGGATAATTTAATTTTTTTTCCTTGAACATTGAGAACATTAAAATGATGTCTTACTCTTTGGCTGAAGATAACTTTATTTCAAACCAAGTGGCACTGTGTACCACTCAAAACTAAAGATACAAATAAAGTTCCATCTGTAACTTCAGTGCTCACTTCTGCCTGCTAACTGTTTTGATGATAGAAGTGTTCTCATGCTGAGGATCAGGCAAATGACACGACACCATGACTGTAAATATTGACAATATTAATAGGTAGTTATTTAGAACTGAAACATCAGTGCTGTCCCCCAGTTAAAGTATGCTGGGTTTAGTCAAATACATGATGATTAAGCTGAGAAATGCAGACCAAAGGATCACATCCAGAAATCCACATTCTTACTCAAATACCAAACCGCACAGACTCTGAACTATCAAACACTGATGCTGGCTAAATTTAAATGCTACGTTGCATACAGTCACAGGAGGGCAGTCATTTTGTCTATAAAGTGGATTAATACCAACCGTAATTCCTCACATTGTGCCCACTCAATGAAGAGGAGATTCAATTCAGTGTTTTTTTAGTTCCAAAAGCCTAATATGAAAGATTGGTTGGTCTTTCTCTTCCACCCTCACAAAAATCAGCTAATACCAATCCATCTGAGCTCAGACCATTATTAGAAATAGATCATTTATTTGATTTTCCATAACAGAGACATTCAATCAACTCTCTGAGCTGGTAACCAGCAGAGAGGAAACACTAGATGTAGATAAGAGAGGTAACTTGAACAAATCTAGCCATTTAGGTGTACTAAGACCTCTTCTCCTACTCTCATCCTAACCCTAGCACTGTCTTCACATGGAACGAAGGTTGTGGCCTTCACTCCTGGAGGAAATACCCAGTGAGGAAGGTATATCTAGACAACAAGCCAGGAATACTAAAAGACGCAGAAATCACAGGCAGGAACGGGGGAATAATCATAAATCACAGAAATAACAGCTTTGCATTGCATTTCATATGACAAGGGAGGCTAAAATTAGTTGCTATTACTGCAACATAACAAACGGTCTTTCTCCAAATAATTTGATTTGTAAATCCTACAGCACCATCTTTCACAAAGTTAGATTTCCATTTTATGTCCTAGTTACATTGTGTTCAGGCTGGGCTACAAGGAAGTAAGAGGTAGATCAAGACTTAAACAGCAGTTGTCTTTTATTCTATCTTCTCCCAGAGCCAACTTTAGGAGATCCAATGAACTTATCACATTTAGGTTATTACAGAATCTTTGTAATTGAAGGCAAGAAAAACTGGAGAGCACTCTTCTTCTCATAAGGGAAGCTCATAATCTGCTGGATCTGAAGTTTAGATCTGCAGGATCTGCAGGATCTAAAATAATCTGGAAAACCCTTCTCCCCCAAAGCTTTACTTGAAACTGCATGGATAAAAAAGGTCTCAGAAAGAGAAACAGCTGCATCAACTCAGGAGTACTGGTAATGCAAACAAAAACTTATTTCCTTCTGTGAGGATGAAGGATTTTTTAGAATATATTTACAGGAATACAGCTTAATTTACCTGTGTTTATATACTCTGAGCTCAAATTTTATCTGTGGACAAGGCTGCAACACCTTGCAAATCCAAACAGGAATAAAAGATTCCTATCAAATCTCAGAAGCATGATAACTTGAAGATTAATCATCCGATTTTTACTTTCAAAAAAAAAGGAAGCCTTCTTAGCTCTGAAGTACTATTCCAATTTATGGTAAATATTTCTTTTCAGAGTAACTCTTTCCTCCTGTTTATTATTTATGTTTTTCTCCATGCTCCCTCTGTTGCATGATTTGTTTTCTGTGTGCAACCAGACCCTGTTAAATTCCTGCTGAGCAGAGGATGGCATTTCTTCATTCTTCACGTAGTTTCCACAATCTCTAAGATTCTCAAGCATATTCAAGAAGGATTTTTGTTTTTCTGTCTCTACAAGTTTTTGATTAAGGTAGATTTACAATCTCAGCAGTTTTCCCTCTGCTCCCTGCAATCCCACCACCCTCCCCAGCTGCAATAGGTTTTGATGTTTAACTCAATAAAATTTAGGGATCCTTTTTCTGGAGTTGTTCCATTTTAGTTTTCTTATCCTGGAAGACATCTGTGAAACACAGTCCTTGAAGACCCTTTTCCAATAGCTGTCAACCAGGGAAGATCAGGCTCCCGGGCTGTGATGTGACTGAGTACACCCTTGTATCTGCTGATAAAAAACAGTACCTAGGGTCACGAAGTGCTCCAGAAAAGCAGAATTTCAAAAGACAAACAAATCTATTCTCTATCTTGTAAATTTTAGTTATTGGGTCAGCTGTCATCAAGACCAACCAATTCTGTAGCATCCCAGTTTCCCTGAAAGCAACAGTAGACTGGAGAAATTAAACAGACAATAAAACTACCTGCACCCAGAAGTGTAAGATGTTCACCACTGAACACAAAAGGCCTCTTCACATAACATTTTGTGGGAAATAAAAATACAGATTTTATTAAAATGTATGAGTTCATATAAACTTTTTCCTTCACACTTTAAAATTATCATAGTTGTTTTCCAAGAAACCAAGATCTATACAACTTAGAACTCAAATGATAGTTTTGTTTAGGAAAAACAAACACACACTTAATTTGTCTTTCCTACTAGTTTATTGTTAAGAAACCTGTAAAAGATTTTGTAAGGAAGAAAACTCTGTACTTCTAACTTATTTCCCATGCTCATTAACAGGACTTAGAGCTACCTCATGGGAACTGAAGAGAGTTTATCACAGAATGCCTTCTCCTACAGGTGCATGAGATCAGAGATACCAAAGTCTTTTAAGAAAGTTAGGCTACCAGCTGACAGACTTGCCAGAGCATAAACAACGAGAATCAGCCTGTCACCGAAGCCTGTAAGATTTCTTTCAATTGCTCATAAAGCTAATAATGCAAAGGAAACACTGATCTGACAAAACCCTCTGGATGCTACGGCAAAACAAATACCCAAAGAGACAAAAGTAGTTAGCATACATTAGGGCTGGAAAACACACAGGGCTAGCACCGTAGCAATAAGATGCTACTGCTGTATAATTCCTTTTCTGTACATATCCAGACATACTTAAATCACAGAAAATCAGAGCCAAAAAGCCCTAGCAGGTCTTCAAGTCCATTCTCCTGCCAGTGCAGATGACTGTAAGGTAACTCTTCTGTATCTGCATCAGATAAAAGATCCACTGCTACAGGCAGTGTGTGGGGTCTGGTTTCCATCCAGCCTCAGACTTTAAACAAAATATAACTGGAAATTCATTTTGGTCAAAACCTCACAAGTCTCACAGCAGATACAGACATTAAACTTTCCTGTAATGCCTGGAGTAGCCCTGCCGGACACACATACATCTGATCACGCATTCGAGACACAAATATCTGAAGGCAAGGCAGAGGCTATAAATGCTGTCTATTACTAAAAGTTTGCCAAATAAAATGGGAGTAAAACATTCATAAAACCTGTCCATCACTGACAATGTAGTTTAACAGACCTACACTGGTTAAACAATGTATGCCAACAAAAGTAAAACAGGTTTTACTGATTATATATCTTTACTGATTCTCTATCTTTTCATTTTCTAAGTTCTCTGCACAATTGATTTAAGTATGTTCACTTCAAAGGATTTACAAACATGCATACAAAATGGACTAGCTAGGATGACCATGATATGATCTACAACACACAAATCGTGTTAAGAACTGCATTTGGAAGAAGGGTAGTTTTAACTTTTCACTGTACTATATAGTTTTTAAATGAATGTAGCATACTAAAAGCATGAAGAAGCTTAATTAAAGCATTTACTGTTTGCATATTATGAAAATGACTTAGTATTAAAGCATCAATATTGCAAGGGTATGTCTTTCTATTTCAAGAAAATTTTAATACATGACAATAATATATGGTAAGAAAATATTGTTACTAAGGATTTTAGCAGTAAAGGAACGTGTTAGAAGTCAGTTCTGACAATTCTTTGAATCTAAAAGATCTATAAGTACTAAAATGTCATCTGTCTATCCATGTGAGATTTAGCTTTGGCAGTATTTCAAAAGTGAAAAAACATGCTTTGTTATATATTTTCCCTATGACAATATATTTTCAAAGCTAAGAGGCCAAATTCTCCTGAGAAGTTCAGTAAGATGTATATGTGTTACATAAATATTTGCAGAAAAAAGTGAAGTTTGAATACTCACAACAATCAATGGGTCAAACTGTGTATAAAAGCACAAAGTGCAGAATTTATTGCCAAGAGCTGGCAATTAAAGATTTCAATTCATTTCTTCGATTTAGAGATTCATTGTTCTGCTCAAGCTAAATTAAACAAGCCATTTGGAAGCTAACCTGATTATCGCCATATAAATTTGCCTATTGTTAAGTGATGTCATTAGGAACACCTCTCCCTCCTTTTTTCTTTTTTCTTTTTTCCTTTTTTTTTTTTTTTTTTTAATTATAGACTGTTCCAGAAAGAGGTCTGGAAAATAGAGCTGTCTGGCTCATACGGCTATTTTTTTAATGCTTTAAAATAAAAAGAGAGAGCAGAAAGGTTAGAAAAGAAAGTAAGACAAGAAGTGCAATAATTGCTCAGCCCTGACCTCTTCCAAGCCACTGCAAAACTGATAAAAGTTGCCTGAGCTGTTTTTTATGCAGTTCAGCTTTGACCTTTTCCAATAGCCACAGGGGTACCAATGCCCCCTTTAATCCTAGGGCTACATGGAATAATAAGTGATCCATAATTATTTTTTTTTTTTAGGATGAAAACAAGTGATCTTTAATTTCCATTAAAGAAAAATCCTGTGAAAAGATTATCCACTAAATCAGTCCAGCCATGGCGAATTCTGACAACTGTGCTCAGCTGATAGAGATATTAAAATAACAAGAAACTCTTATGTGTAATTTTCTGAGTACTTACACATTCTTGGATTTGAATGCTTCAGCAAAGTGCTGCACACTCTGAAGAGAAGCAAGGTCTAAGGTCATTGCTTCTACCTTGGCTTTATGCTGGAACAAGAGAAAATATAAAAAAAGATAAATAAGAGCAAGTTTAGTTCACAGTATCATGTTACAGTAAATGTGTTATGAAACTTACCCGATTCCCTTGTTTAACATTATAACCCCAAAGTGAATACAAATCATCAAAACGAATGGACGAGCGCAACATTTAGTGCCAAAAGTAGCATTGCAATTTTGTGGTTCTGCTAAAAACATATGCTGTGCAACACACAGCTTTATATAATAAAATGAATCAACACAAAGTAGTGTTAAGGTTAATATGGTATCTTTTAGCTTCCATTTTGCTGGTGAAACTTATGTAACTCATGAAATATAAAGTACAGGAAGCATTATTCTTAATGCATGGCATTCTTTACACAGCATACCAAAAGAAAAATACTCAGCAACTACTCTATAAAAAACAGTTAAATTCAAACTCGCACACAGTATTTCAAAACAATCTATTGTTCACAGCAGGTGACATAAAGGTATAAAATGAGTGTAGAAAACAAGTGATCAGACAATGTTTTTTCACAGAATAAGAGTTTATGAGTGTGTATCTTCTAAAGAAATTGTATATGCACTTAAAACAAACTTTTCCCCTAGCAGAGGACATGCAATCCCACACAATGACCTTGGGCACCACCAAAACAACTCAAAATTTTCAGCTTTCAGCTTTCTCAGACCTTTTGAAACACACTTCAAATCTTGGAACTAAACAAACCAAGTCTATTTTCATTGCAAGCACTGAAGTGAAAGCAAGTCACCACAGAACCCAGCAGGCTGTAGTTGTTCTAAGCCATAGTTATGAAGGAGCTTTCGACTGCAGCTGTGCGCCTGCACCACCACATCCAACAACTGTCTAGTTCTTCCACAGACACTGTATTTTAAGACATCTATGATCCTCTGCAAAAATACCAACTCTCATGACATATAAGTCACATAGATCCCCTAAGGAATTATGAACTTCTGTTATTTGTGCTCACCTTCACTTTTAGACTTACTACTGCCCATCACCGCATACACACTCTGGTACATAAAGGAAAGCTGGCAAAAGCCCTGTACTCTCCCAAAACCTAAACATGCCAACATTCAGCCCTCTGCTAAGCCCTCTGCTTAGCTTATTCAGTAAAAAAAAATGAAATTAAAGGGACACTTCATGTAATCCCAACATGCCACCTACACCTATGTATAGTGGTCATGGACCAGACTGGACATTGGCACTGCTCAAAGAAAGAGGAAGAATAAGAGAAAGCAGATACAGTGGTACTATGCAGTCAAAGGCAGCATTTGAATGGAGAGGCAATAGGAACTTTGTTAGCATCACGATGTAAACGGGGATCTATTGTGATTACAACGTTATACAATGCCTGTTTCTGAAGGAACAAGAAGGAAGCAGCACACGTCCCAGCACAAAAAGAAACCAAGAAGAGTGCTCCCATTGTCTCCCAAGCTCAAGCAATTCATCTGATCTCTGTGTTTCATTACATCTGGTACTTTTCTCCCTACATCTGTTACTCTTCTCCCTACATCTGTTTTCTGTTTTGCTAGCATCCATTCTGCCCGCCACAATTACCTTACAGGTTGGGTTTAAACAGAATGTCACTCAAAATCTTTTTGTTCCACTCCAGCCAGACTTATCAGCACAACAAAATAAACACAACTAAAATTTCAACAGGTTCAGTTTCCATAGGAAGTATCCATTGATGGAGTCTGAAAACTCTAAACCAAACTTAACTTGGTTATGAGGAGTTTTTTTACTGTCACAAGATGCACATCATCCTGGAATTCATTTTGCCCCACTGGGTAAATATTTTCTTCTGTTTGATGGTCAGAGACTTGAGAAAGATGATGCTGCCTTGCATTATGCAACAGACCTCCATAACAACTTTCCGGTTCAAAGCTGTTTACTTAATAGAGAAGCAGTGTGCGTAGCTGGGTTTACACTGCTTCTGCTTTCCTCAGTTGAAACATTCTCTTAGCTCTCTCAAGGGTAAAAAAACAAGAAGGCTACAAATACAGGCACACAAGAGGGTCAAAAAAAATAATAATCAAGTAGTTTGACAGACTATACCGCACGCTGGTAGCTACTGTCCTCTTGGGGACACAGACTGAAGCCCACACAGTATTACTCATTGATGCTTCTCCTCTTGGTGTCATGTGTTAGGCTTCTGCTACTGAGTCCAAGAACAGAAGAGAGGTACCTGTGTATTTCAAGTCCAAAAGGGAAAAAGAGTGAGGCCTGCAAAATACCTTCAGAAATAGAAATTAAAAAGACTAAGATTGGCCTTAGATTTGTGGATTAAAATATTGAAAAAGTAAAAACCATAAGTCTAGAAATCATATTCTTGAAAATGATAAATGGTTGACTGTTAGACAGCAAATGCAAACTATAATCATGTTTCTTCTGTACCAGTTTCGCCAATGAAATGAGACCATCTTTCTATTCGTACTACATTTTCTTCAGACAGTAAGATAATTTATTTTAAACAATGTAACACCACTTCACCTTTTAGTTTTGATACACATACACAGAAAAAGACAAAGAAAACATTCATTAGGAAATTCAGGAAAATGTATTTAAAATGATCTGAAAAAGGAAAAATTAAGAAGGAAAAAGAAGTATGGGTTTAGTAATTTTTTCCATGGAAAAGGTCAGCAAATGGCAAAACAATTTATTTTTTTTTAACTTTCTCCCTGACTTTCCTTTATAAAAACCTGACGGCATCAGCCTGCGTTTCTCACCGATATACACAAGGTCCATACTGAGCACAGAGACAGCCATTAGCTTTGTTTTCCTGCTTCATGAAGGCATGCAAGAAACCAAACTCATTTTCTCCAAATAGTAGCCAGCAGATCTGTTTCAGATTCTCCCTTTTCAACTGATATTCAAGCACTCCTCACTCCAAAGAGGTGTTCTGTAGACCATCAATTCTTACTATAGTTTGAGAAAGTGAAATGCTAGGCCTTTAATATCACACCATTTTCATTCCAAAATTTCATTCCAAATTTTCCTACTCATACTTCAATGTCACAACTTCTTTTAAAAAAGCTATGAAATAAGCAATATATTTGAAGGGTATGTTCTTAATAATTCTTACTGTAAGAATAGCTCCAACCAATGGCAAGCAGATGCCTTTTTGTTTATTTTCTTACAGTAGCTCAGTATCACCTTTCTTGCGTTTTGCATCTTTTCCTATAAGCCTATATAGCAAGTATCACATATTGTGCTATTTATAGAAAAATAAAATATTTTAAAATAAAAAAAAAAAGTTCAAAACCATTTTTGCTAAAAGGCACTGCAACTGTAATTATAATCCACAGTCAGAACGGATAGTTAATGGTATGCTGCAAATCCTAATCTAATGCGTCATAATAGTATTATTCTGATGTCTCTCGCTATTTCACTTCACATATTTTCAGTACTGAATTATGCCTCATTTTATGTTGTGAAATCTTAAATGCGACTTGCCACTTTCCCAAATACAGAACACAGTCTTAAAACTGACATCATAAGATCAACACGCTAAGGCAGAAAGCTCCAGAATTTTTAAAATTAAATCAACAAAAGACATTAATGGTTCCTTTATTACTTTATTTTAAATAACATAATTTAAGGGAAAACTAAGGAACATAATGAGTGTAGAGGAATTTAAAGAGCTCACTTCTAAATCTCAGGATCACTACTATGTGGCACAGTTGAGAACCTGTGCAACATGAGCTGGTGCCCTCGCTGCAGATTCCCAGGCCAGAAGTCCCAACGTACCCTAAACCACTTCCAGAACAAGACTTAGGCCAGCTTCGTAAACTGGCCAAAAGGACAATAGACACAAGGGCAGATACGCTTCTGCTGTCTACTGAACTGTGTGGAAACAAGGTCAGCTAGAACCACCTGAAACTGTGCTTTTGTGTTGGGGAGTATTTGTGTTTCATGAAGCCCAAAGAGCAGTTCGAGGCTCACAATGTCTAGGCACCAACATCCTGTCTTTGAAGAAACAGCCAAAGGCAGATTATCCTCTGGTTCCTAACAAGTCCTCTTTTAAACACAACACAATAACATTTTGCAAAGTGCAAAGAAAAAACTTCATCTTGTATTTCATGATTTTATGCCCATTTCTAAAAGCATTTTATCAATATTTCCAGGTAACTTTCATTACTCTAAATAACAGCAGAAAAGAGTTTGTTCGGTTTTGTATGTAAACAGCTCCCTATTGGAGAAAAAAGAATATTAAAAGTGCTTAAGTTCAATTGGTTATATTTTGCACTCATGCTAGAAAAATGCTTATTGGGCCAGAAACTAACAAGGAAGTGAAAACATCCAAAAAGCAAGCAATTTCACTATATGCAATGTATTCACTTTACAGCTTTAAAACTGTTTAAAAATGAACACTGTATGGTAGAGTAGTTTGGCAGTAAACATGATTGTGCATTTGTGTCTTGGTACTGAAGAAGGAGCCTTTTTTCATAGTGAATTTTTCATTCAAATGTAAGTGATGATTTACGTTAAATATAGGTAAAGCATAGTTACATTTTCCTGAAGGATTGCAAGGAAGTGAAGAGCAGTACAATAAGTTGAAGCATAAAAGCTTTCTCTGTCATAATATTTATTATAATGGCATATAAAATAGCTGAAATAAATAATAGATGACTAAAAGTAAATTCATATGATAAAGAATCTTTCAGCAGACACCATTACTTCTGACTGCTCCAGTTTCATACAGAGTTGAAGAGTCTTAATAAATATGCTGTAGCCCCTGTATCTTATGTAAGCACAAGTCATTTTGTAAGGGCCTACTTAGAATGTAACATAGTGGACGGTACATAATTTACTGTGTAATTTTACTCTCAAAAAATACCGTGTATAAATCTTTGATATTTAGAAGTCCTTAACTCAAAACTCAATACATAGCACAACAATAAAAGCATCTGTCTTTGAGGGACTGAAAGTATAACAAAATGGTAAAAAGCAGTTTAATTTCATTAAGAAAAATCCTGATGACAACACCTTG